GGAGTCGAGGCAGTGACAGGGAGAGGTCAAATAGGAATCAGGCCTTCTCCTTTCAAGCAAAAGGCAAAGAGATCATTAGCCCAGTTAAAGTGCTTCTACACCAATGCACGCAGCATGGGCAACAAACAGGAAGAGCTGGAAGTCATTGTGCAAAAGGAAAACTATGATATAATTGCCATCACGGAGACATGGTGGGATGATACACACAACTGCAGTGCTGTGCTGGATGGCTACAAGCTCTTCAAGAGAGATAGGCCAGACAGGAGAGGAGGGGGAGTGGCGCTATACGTTAGGGAGGGTTTTGAATGCCTGGAGATCAGCAATGGTGATGAAAGGGTAGAATGCTTGTGGGTCAAAATAAGGGGGAAGGCCAATAGGGCTGGCATCACAGTTGGAGTCTGCTATAGACCACCCACTCAGGAAGAAGATGTAGATGAAATATTCTACAAACAATTAGGGGAAGTCTCACGATCACAACCACTAGTTCTTGTGGGTCACTTCAATCTACCAGATATTTGCTGCAATTTGAATACAGCAATGAGGAAACAGTCCAGGAGGTTCCTAGAGTGTCTGGTAGACAACTTCCTGATACAGCTGGTGAGGGAACCAACCAGGGAAGGCTCCCTGCTGGACCTGCTGTTTACCAACAGAGAAGGACTCATTGACGGTGTCAAGGTTGGAGGCTGTCTTGGGCATAGTGACCATGAAATAATAGAATTTTCGGTCACAGAAGCAGTGGGTAGAGGAGTCAGCAGAACTGCTGCCTTGGACTTCCGGAGGGCAGACTTCAACCTTCTTAGGAGACTGGTTGGAAGGGTCCCTTGGGAGTTGGTCCTGAAAGGCAAAGGGGTCCAGGAAGCCTGGACAATTCTCAAGAGGGAATCTTCAGAGCCCAGGAGCAGGCTGTCCCAAGTGAACCGCAAGATGAGCCAGAAGGGCAGAAGACCAGCCTGGCTGAACAGAGAGCTCTGGCTAGAGCTCAAGAAGAAAGACTATGACCTATGGAAGAAGGGGCTAGTCACTCACGAAAACTACAAAGATTCTGTGAGACGATGCAGGAAGAAAATTAGAAAGGCAAAAGCCCAGCTGGAGCTTAATCTGGCAGCTAACATAAAAGACAGTAAGAAAAGCTTCTACAAATACCTTAACAGTAAAAGGAGGGTTAGGGAGAAATCTCCATCCCTTGCTAAATGCAGTGGGAGAAATAGTGACTGGGGATGAAGAAAAGGCTGAGGTACTCAATGCCTTCTTTGCTTCAGTCTTCAATGGTCAGACTAACTCACTGGGTGATATGCCTCTAGAACCAAATGGTGGAGATGGAGAGCTTTATCAAGGTTTCTTTCAAAAGGAAACAGTAAGTGAACTGCTGCACAGCTTAAACATACAGAAGTCTATGGGGCCAGATGAGATCTGCCCAATAGTGCTAAGGGAGCTGGCGGAAGTGCTTACCAAGCCGCTTTCCATCATTTACCAACAATCCTGGCTAAGAGGGGAGGTACCAGCTGACTGGAGGTTGGCAAACGTGACGCCGACCTACAAGAAAGGTAAGAGGGAAGACCCAGGGAACTACAGGCCTGTCAGTCTGACTCCAGTGCCAGGTAAACTCATGGAGCAGATCATCCTTAGTGTTATCATGCGTCATGTACAGGACAGTCAGATGATGAGGCCCAGTCAACATGGATTTATGAAGGGCAGGTCTTGTTTGACCAACCTGATCTCTTTCTATGATAAAATGACCTGTTTAGTGGACGAGGGAAGAACTGTGGGTGTTTACCTCGATTTTAGCAAAGTCTTTGACACTGTTTCCCATAACATTCTTCTGCAGAAGCTGGTTGCCTATGACTTGGACAGGTGTACGCTTTGCTGGATCAAAAACTGGCTGGACGGCCGGGCCCAGAGCGTGGTGGTGAATAGAGTTAAACCCAGCTGGCAGCCGGTCACCAGTGGTGTTCCACAGGGCTCAGTGTTGGGGCCTGTTCTCTTTAACATCTTTATCAATGATCTGGATGAGGGGATCGAGTGCACCCTCAGCAAGTTTGCAGATGACACTAAATTGGGGGGTAGTGTTGATCTGCCTGAGGGTCGGGAGGCTCTACAGAGGGACCTGGACAGACTGGATCGATGGGCTGAGGCCAATTGTATGAAATTCAACAAGACAAGTGCCGGGTCCTGCACTTGGGCCACAATGACCCCCTGCAGCATTACAGGCTTAGAGAAGTGTGACTGGAAAGCTGCACAGCAGAGAAGGACCTGGGGGTGCTGGTCGACAGCCGATTGAACATGAGCCAGCAGTGTACCCAAGCAGCCAAGAAAGCCAACGGAATCCTGGCATGTATCAGAAACAGCGTGGCCAGCAGGAGAAGGGAAGTGATTGTCACCCTATACTCAGCACTGGTGAGGCCACACCTGGAGTACTGTGTCCAGTTTTGGGCCCCTCACTTCAAGAAGGACGTTGAGGTGCTGGAGCAGGTTCAGAGAAGAGCAACAAAACTAGCCAAGGGTTTAGAGAACTTGTCCTATGAGGAGCGGCTAAGGGAGCTGGGACTGTTTAGTCTGGAGAAGAGGAGGATCACGAGGGACCTTATCGCTCTCTACAATCACCTGAAAGGAAGTTGTAGGGAGGGGGTCGGTCTCTTCTCCCATGTTATGAATGACAGGACGAGAGGGAATGGCCTCAAGTTACGCCAGGGGAAATTTAGGTTAGATATCAGGAAAAATTTCTTTACAGAGAGGATTGTTAGGTATTGGAACAGGCTGCGAGGGAGGTGGTGGAGTCCCCATCCCTGGAGGTGTTTAAAAACCCGTGTAGATTTGATGTTGAGCAATGTGGTTTAGGGACCCTGACAGTGCAGGGTGAACGGTTGGACTCTATGATCTTGAAAGTCTCTTCCAACTAGACGATTCTATGATTCTATGATTCAAGCAAGGTGTCTAGCACAAACTGTACAGTCACAACAGGAAAAGTGTTACCAAACAAGTCCCCGTTAAGTTCCACCAAACACACATTTGCATTACAGCAAAAGTCTGAACACTCATGTTGTGGAAGCCCCAACTCTACTCTTATTTTAAAAGTGTCAAAACAGGAAATTAAAGGCTTCATGATATTTCCATACTCACCTTTTGAAAGCTAGATTCAAAGCCTTTAATAAAGAAACAACTCGAAAAAACCTATTAAAAGGAGGAGTCATATATATGTTCTTTTGCAGTATGAAGCTGCAATATAAAGAGCCCATTATCTGATACAAGTAAATAAGAAGCACTGCTAAACAAGGCAAAGTCCTGCACAAGAACAAAATGCATATGCAGAGCCTAAGTCACTGAAAAAAAAAAAGTTAAGAACTAGCATTAACCCTGCCTTTCTTTTTTGTAAAGCTTACTCTGAAATAACCAGACTATTTTACATAGACATGCAGTAAACACAGAAGACGGCTCAATAACTACTGAAATGTGGTTAGTTTTTTAACTAATCACACAAACACAAACAAATTTAAGGATAAAAAGGAATAATGAAGCCAGATGCATAGAAATGGAAAAAAAGCCAAAGTATTTAATTTAAAACTTGGAAAAGTCATCACACAGTAAGGCAAGGCGCTATTGTCACAAGATTCCCTCACAATTCCAAAATACTCAGTTCCCAGAGGAATAACCAAAACAATAAGCATTTGCAGTATCTCATGGTCATTCTTCATGAGTTGTCTTCTACTGACAAGATCCTACTCAGCAATATAACCAACCCACAGCTGAAGGTAGAAATAGTGCTAAATAAGAGAGAGACATGACACAAACAGAAGCATGAACGATCTCTTCCTTTAACTAATGGAAATCACCAAAATTAGGTTGGCTAAATAAATAACACACACACTAGCCACTACAGATGATCAGCTCAAATTAAACTAAGCTCATCAGCCCCAAGCAAGGATATAATTAGCCTTATATTCAAATAATTAAAATGAAAACTCTTGCATGGTCTAACAGATAAATATGACATGGCATAAATGGTATTATCAATTTTCCACGGCAAAAAAACACCACAGGGCAGCACCTTCTCATTGCACTCTTCACATTTCACCACGAGATGGCAATCCCTGCTGTTAGCACACTAGAGGTCACTCTGCTAGACAAAGTATCTCCACCCCAGCACAAAGCCTCATACCTTTTTATTCAGATTTAAGATAAAGACAGAAATGGGGAACCAGAAGTGCTTAAACACAAATTAGAAAAAGATAAAAGCGATTAACTGATCTGCCTTTTCTACAGTGGCACGAACTGAGTGACCTTACCTTGTGTTGGAGATTGCCTTTGCTGCTTCCGGATAATGAAGAGAATGGGCTCTTGAGCGTGAAGAAGGATGTACTCCACTCCAACCATCTGGCTGAAAAAGAAGCAACCAGAATAAATATCTTCCTCAAAGTAAAACCCGTAGGATGTTAAGAGCTACCAAATGACCTGGCAATAAAGGGACGAAGTTCCAATACTTTGGAAGCTTTTCTGTATAATGTGCAGTAAAGGCATAGGATTTCCCAAGCTGGCTATCAAAATCTAGCTGCCTATACAAAAGAAGTTACAATAACCTGACACAACATCCAAGTAGAACATCTTAGCAAAAAAATAAACAGCAAGAAAGATAAGACAATCTATCATCATAGAGATGTAATTTAAACACAGAAACAAAGGACCGGTGTATGATGTGACCATCCGTGTGTCTGATGTGAAAGCCCTTCCACAACACATCTGTGCACAAGTGATTTTACCAATGAACTTTTAGCTCAGCTTGCACTCTTCCTATCTATATTATGCAGTCTTTAAATAGTTCTGAAATACCTCATTTGTGCTCACTGTAGCAGATGGGGAACTGCAAAGAAAGTTAACTCGCGCACGCTGCAATCTCATTACACAACCATCTGTGATCAGATTGTTTACAACACTCACTACTTTTATTATCCATACTAAAAAGCCAGCTCTTTGGTAGAACGATGTACTAATTAAGGCACATATCCAGTGGGATATGGAAACATAAACTATTTATGAACTCGAAGTATCCCCTAACACAAACCCTATTCACCACAGAAAAACATTTAACTACATTACCATTACTTGGGTTCTGTTGTGCTGTGAAGATGAGAGAAGACACCTTTTCTAATTCAGAGAAATATCTAAAAGGTGGTTTACTGGCATCTCAGGATATACATAGAATCCTTCATGCTTAACATCTCCTTGAAATGGCATAAGAGGAAGCAGAAGACATCCAAATACAAGAAAAAAGTTGGGCTCCCTGGCAAGTGGTGGGACTGAAAAGCACAGAACAGAACGAGGTTTCCAGCATGCTTCTGTTCAACCACTGTCACGATAAGACATGATATTGTGTTGACAGAAGACAGAAAGGGGGGTTTCCTCAAACCCTTTACAATTTGACCAGCCTGTCAGGCTTGCGCTGACAGTGTCACTGGGACAAACCCCTCTGGACAGCCCGCTAGGTCAGAGGGTGGTCATCTAACCTATTCAGGGACTCCCATGGGCAGTGACACCAAGACAAAATCTCTTATATCCCCTGTATCAATTACTGAAGTTTCCGGAAACTTATTTTTATATACAAACGAATTTTATTATATATGTTCATGACAAGATAAAGGTTCAAAGGTAGCTGGTGGTAAGATACTGAGTGCGAAACAGGATTGGAACAATATACCATCAGAACTTACCAGTGATGATTTTAAATAGCTAGCAAGGTGTTGGTAACTAGGGGTGTGTAACAGAGCTGTTACCCAACAGGCATCCCTATGGGGGAAGAGAGGTCCAGCCTGTCGACTGGTCCCAGACTTTCCAATGGAGGTCTTCCCCCACATCCCCTTCTCTTAAGCCATTTTTATACTGTTTTCTACTTTCAGGTGGAGCCTGAGTGACTCTAGTCATACATACCTTTGTTAGGATTGGTGTAAGTTTTCCTTGCTTTGTTTTAAAGGTATAGACTAGAAGAGTTTCAGGGCGCCTGCTCAGTGAGAGGTGGTCGCAGCCCGGAGGCAGGTAGCTTTTGAGGTGGAGGTGTGTTTTGGTATTATAATGACATTATAATGAGCAAAGTTCAGCTACAGGACACGATTTCACCGTCACTGCTGAGGCAGCAGTTGCGATCCATCTTCCTTGATAGCAGCTACGCGGTTATCTTTGCCAGTCACTCTCTACCCCTGATAACAGGGATAAGCCGTGATACCTTCGTACCACTCTACTCCCCATTTCAAGGATATCGTACATCCCGCTTGGCCAGAGCAGGCCTTGTCCATGCCAACTGCATTCCGTTCCTGGGAGCAGCAACTGTGTCTCGCCTCAAAGCTGCTCTAATATGACAGCTTATGTTAAGATGCAAGCTGAACTTTGGGGAACAGCGTTCTTCCATTCCCCTCATTTTCTGTTATTTTTCCATAACCATCAAAGCCTCTGGATGGAGGGACAAAGGGACACTGCACAGGAAGCAGTTCCAAATTACAACTTACTTCAAATGGTCCAAGGTCATCCGCTGCATTTTGACCACTTCATTGTTACATGTTCGGTCATAGAATGGGTTACTTCGCTCTGAGAAATAGTCCAAGACACTCCCATTGTTTAATATTGGAATCCAGGAGCTGTCAACCCAGGAAATTCCCAAGAGATTATCTGAGAAGAGAAATCCACAATGAGTATCAAAGCAGCCAGAAACACTACAAACACCTCCAAGAGTAAAATGCCACCAGTTAATGATTATAGCAAGGTAAGGAGGTGGAACACAGCCTCACGCAAACCAGTTCTAATTGAAAATATTTTTCAGAGTTCAAATAATTGATATCCTTTACCTTCTGCAGTTCTGTTGTATGCACACAATAGAAATACAGTCTTTTTTTATTATTGCACTTTTCTTGCCTTGACCACTAGCTGCTGGTATACCTGTATGTCTCAAGAACGTGAGCAGGGTCTGTGTGCACATGTGTGTGTGCTGTGTTGGTGGGAGTTAATTAGCTCTCATACTGTGTATAATATTATCACACTACCTCTACTCAGTAGTATTATATACAGTTTATTTTATGAACCACAGCATTAGCTGAGTGAAAGGACAATTCAAAGAGTGGTTCCTTTTAAAAGCTAGGTCTCTAGCAAGTAAGTTGAATTTACTAAACTAAGTTAGGATCAGTTACAACAGTGTAAAAAAAAACCCCACAAAAAAACCCCTCAAAAAAACGTGATACACCCCACACTAAATCTGAGCCTGCTCATGTTTAAAACAGTTTATTTCTTACAAAGCTAGTTTCCAAGCTGTAAATGAGCTGATACTGAAAACAGGTAAAACACTGCAAAGATCTGTTAATTAACCCAAGAGTTTTCTTTTGCTAAAGCCAAAGAGTAAACTACTGAGTGAAACAAAATAGTGAGATCGTTAATATTTCTAAGACGTTGTTATTAAAGTACATATCTCTATGATATCATAGCAACTGATAACTTATGTTTGAAAGAATATTATTTTTGATGTGGGTGAAACCTATAATAAAAAAAAACAACAAACAAGACAGCAGATACAAAGATGCTATCTTTGGGTAGATGTTCCCAGTAGTCTTGAACAACAGATTCTATTCCTTGTGCTACACTTAATCTGCCAAATTGCCTACAGCAAATTCCTTATTCCATAACTCAAGTGAATATTACAGAATCTAACTATGGTATATTAACAATTACGTAAAATAGCAAGCTTTTAAAATGAAATATACTCTATAACCTGTGAATCATTATAAGCCAGATAAGTTCCTACAGATTTGGGGACATTTGAATTAAAATCCCTGGATTTCATTATCACATTGCAACAAAATCATGTTCCTCAAGCACACCAAAGAAACCAGTATCAATAATCAGTTCTACAGTCAACAAATTTGCTAATGTGAAGATCCATGAGACACCTTGAAAAGCACCCTGAAACTCGTTTTAAATTGCAGCAGGAGCAAACAGAAATCCCAAGACGGGAGAAAGCAGGAAACAGAGGCATGCATATAGAACTAAAAAAACATAAGTTATGAGAAGTCATTGAAGACTGAATGAAGAACTGAAACTGCCTTCTCACAGGAACCATTTCTTTACATTCCCGCATTATATACGTACCCAGAACTCCCACTTATCATTCCACTGTGAATATTTTACTTTAGTAACAACTCTGCATGCTCAAGGATGACTGGATCAGTTCCAAAAGTGTCAGCTCACATACTATTAGCAGCTTCTCCGAGGAACAGTTAATAAAATAACACTAGCTGCCCAGCAAACTAGGAGAAACGCAGCATAATCATGCGTAAATCATTTTGTCTCGTTAATCTCAGAATTGCCAGCCTAACTCCTTCATATAACAAGGGGGGAAAAAACCAAAAGTCTAGAGGCATTCATGTTATTTCACATACACTATTCTCTCTCCTCACTATAAAAAAAGGAAATCTCAGAAACAAAGCGCTAAGATCCATTATTAAGCACTTAAGCTGTGGTAGTGCTGTTTATCCTAAATGCCTTTCAAAACCAAAAGACAAGCTTTCCTTCCCAACAAAACCAAAATCTTAAGTGCTTGCATTCTTGCCATAATAAATTCTCATATTACATTTCAAATAAAAACTTTTCTTGCTTATATGATCAACAATAACTACATTTCTCAAGGGGAATGTCAGGCAAGCTTCATACATATATATACACACACATACAGCTATAATGCTGTATATAGACTGATAAACGCATCATAAACTGGAATATAAAGTTCAGCTCTATGGCTCAACTATCCATAGCTGCTTAGTGCCAACATTTATAATTGTCTTTATAACTAGCAAGACTGTTCTCTTAAACTATTCTTGGAAAAAAAAGGAGGAAGAAAAAAATCAACCATGAATCTGACATGCCTATTATTCTCACTAAGAAGGGAGCACTTCTGTTTATTTTGGGTATGAGAAAGCAAGGATGGTGTTCCTGCTTCCCTGTTCATTTCAAAAACAGGACATCTTGTTCGAAGCATTTTTTGTGAAATTTGCATCACAGATGCAAAAGTGACATGCTTGTGACAATACTGCCACTGTGCCATGAATGTCAGGACAATTTGGGAGGAAGTCAGCAAACTATGTCAAAAAATAAAAGACCACCAATTCACACAACGTGCTGTGCCTGGTCTTGCCGGCTGGATAGCGCAGCACTAGGCTTTGACAAGGCTTTGAGCAACCTGGTCTGGTGGAAAGTGACCCTGCCCATGGCAGGGGTGTTGGAACTAGATGATCTTTAAGGTCCCTTCCAGCCCAAATCATTCTATGATTCTATGACAAACTGAAAGAAAAGTAAGATAATTTGATAGCTTGAAAATAGAAGCATGCTTCAAACTCAATATATTGAACCACATTAGATACAAGACCTGAGGAAGTTTAAATGATCCAGATTAAGACAGAAAGTTCTCACACCAGCTAATAACTTAATACAGCACTCCTGCCATTAATTGTCCACATAGCTCCCTGCTGCAACCTGAAACAAAGCAGTCAGAAAAGCAAACAGGACTGCAGACATCATTAAGTAAGAACCTGGAAAAAAAAGGGGGGGGGGGGTGGGTCATCTGTGGCAGTAGCAAAATCAACCCCTCATGAGCTATCCTTTAAATATCTGGTTTTGGTCATTCCCTGCGACTCCATCACACAGGCTTCTGGTGTGATTCTATTCAGACACTCTTACGGAGGAAAATAATTTCCTTTCTCATCCCCTCTCAACCCCCTCTTCCTCTCTCAAAGTTCAAACTCTTCACAGTAATTTAACCTGTATTTTGTTTACAATGTAAATCTTCTTTAATAATTCATTCAGGTATCACCTCCTCTTCTTCAAAATACTTTCTCTTTCTATTCATATCCCTGAATTCTCATCCAAACCTTTCTTGTTCTCAGTTACTTCACCTTTTTTTCTGGCTTTTCTAACACCTGGCCTGTGTCATCACACCCACCCGAAGTGCTGTTAAAATTAGCAGCTTAACTCACTGCTTTGGTCCCTCATGCAAATCCACACGTCAGTGTTTCCCACTTTCCCCCACACTTCAGAGCTAATACTCTCTTTTTCAGCTGTTCCCTCATGTTACCTTCTCACCCCAGAACCTCCTTATTCCACCTGAAAAGGCAGAAACGTACCAGACGGGAGGCTAGTTCTTCCCAGGTGGCCCTGAACACACCCTCCTAACCCACCTCACGTCCAAAAAGCCTGCTTTTTGGACAGCATTTCCTCCCAGATCCTTCTCATGACACAGATGCATCAGCAACACTCCTAAACTCTCTTGTGCATTGTTTTCAAAGACGGACAAACAAATTTAGTACCTCCATTGCCCCTACAGACCACCCACAAAGGAAGCAGCTCTATCACCCTCGCACCTTTGGCCGCACCTCATCATCCAGTAACCTGGACGCTCCTTGGAGCGAATA